ACCTGCATGACATCCCAGCCATCCCCCAGTGACCCGGACAAACCCCCAGACACCAGACACCTGGCCCCGCCCCTAGCGCACACAGGCATCCGGACCCCTCCGACAGGCCAAGAACCCCCCAACACACCTCAGCCCACAGCCCATTTCCTGTCTCTCAGCCCAAGTGATTTTCAAAAATTCCCTGAGAGGCCTGCGGGGATTTTTTTTATCATAAATTTTTAATTCCACAGTAAGACAAGGAGACACTCTCCTATGAATAATTAACAGCCGAGAAATCAGGCCGAAGGCACTTCTGGCCACCACCTCCAGTCCTGGCTGGTGGCTTTCCTCCCGTACTCTGGACATAGAAGCGGACCAGCTGAATACATATTTTAGAATGCAATTTATGTTAAATAACTTTAATATACTTAAAGTATTTAACAAACTACTATATGTGTAGCTGAATATATATTCGGATGTCCTACATACATGCGCAATATTTGCAAGTGTGTATATTATGTCTGTGATAGTTTGCAGGGGCACGAAACGGGTCCCAGAATTCAAACTTTGGGCTTTTGGGGGGTCTGTTTCCTGGACCCTCGTCCTTGTAAATGGTGCCCGACCCCCAGGACGGCGGGGTCCTCATTCTCTCCACGAGCCCCTCTGAATTCTCACACAGACAGACCCCATTTTACAGATGTGAAAACCGAGGCCCCCACCTGTGCAGCAGGTCAGAGCAAGTGGACGTGGGACAGAAGGGGTCGGCCGAGGCCAGGGACCGCGCGAGGCCGGAAGCCAGACGCGATCCTGCGAAGCATCGGTTTCCGCATCTGTAACGGGGGCTGCAGCGCCACCCTCAGACATCCAGACACCCCCCGGGGATGCTGTGAAACGCAGCGCGCGGGCGATGAGCGCACTGGGCCAGGCCCCGCGGGCTCCGTGGGAAGAGCCACCATAAGCGGACGTTGTTGCCAATGCCGTTCGTTACTCGTTAGCAGCGAGGCGCGCTCCCCACCCCGCCATCCCCGCCCTGGCCACCAGGGGGCGCCCAGGCCTCACCCAGCCCTTCCAGAAGCCATACCTTTGGGCGTTCCCAGCGGGGTCTGCAAGAAAGAAGAGAGGGGTCAGGGGTGCCAGCGCCTTCCTCCCGCTGACCGGGTCCCACCCATGGGGAGAGGAGCCTGGGGAGGATCTCCTCTTTGATTCATCCCAGCCCCCAAAGGCTGTGACAGCCAGAGGTCCCTGCCGTGCCCAGAAGGATCTGTGGCTCTCTGGTGCCCACAGAAGCCTTCCTGAAGACCCCTGGGCCCTGTGTCGGCTGAGTCCTGTCCCCTGCACCCCACCTCCCTCCCTGTTTCCCGAACACATTCCTGTCCCGAGCCCTTGTGCGTCCCTCGTCTGGAAGACTCTTCCCCAGATTCTGGCTCCTCACTCAGCTCCCTGACCAATCCAAGGACTGTCTTCCATCACATTGCACAGTCCCGCAATTACGACATTATCTACCCAGCCGGGGTCTGTCTCCCTTCAGGACGTGGGCATCACGACGCCGGCACGCAGTCTGTGCTCGATCACCCTCCCCGGAAGCCCCCGCTCATCGCATGTCCCCACCTGGAGAACGACTCAACCTTTTTCAAAGCCCACCTCCTCCGGGAAGCCTGCCCAGCCCTCCCATGAACCAGAGGCCTCCTTGAGCACGGGGGCGGGGGGTAACAAGGACGGGTCGGGGGAGAGGAGGTGTGTCCCCCAGTCCAGAACACAGCAAAGGTGCCTGGGAGATTCTTGAATGGGCGTGAACGTACTGCGGCGCCCGTGAGCTCAGGGCCCGGTGTTCTTGGGTCCATTTTCAACAGAATCTGGCACAGATGTCGGGCCCTGGAGTCAATGGCCAGGTCCCGCCAAGACTGCTCTCTACCGTGTGGCCCTGAGCCTGTCTCTCAACCTCTCTGGGCCCCAGGTTTGTCTTCCATCGCATGGGGACGCTGGTCCCACCCAGAAGGGCTGTCACAATGCTAGGACGGGTGCACCGAGAACGTGCTCGGCGCGGGCCAGGCACCCGCAGGTGCTCAGCAGAAGTCATGACAACGATGACGAGTGGGTGACACGCGAGGACAGCTCCCTTTGTGTGGGGTCTCATGTAAGGTGCTCGTCATCCACAGATTCGTTCAACCCCTGTGACATCCCCGGCACGCGGGTGCTCTTCCTGGTGGGGAAACTGAGGCCCAGAGTGGCAGAGCCATGTCCCTGGTCACACGGCTGGGATTCAAGTTCGAGGGGCCCTAAACTCCGGGCCACAGCAAGGCGGGGCCCCGGGAACTGCCTTACCTGCTGAGAATTCAACGCCAACTCTGCCTTCTGGGCCTCCTTGGCGGGGCTGGGCGCCGGGGCACGTGCCGGGCTCAGGGTCTCCCTGGAGGTGGCCGGTGGCACATCCGCTGCATTCTCCAGCACCTCCACCTCCTTCTCGAGTCTGCGGAGGGGGTACGAGGTGACGACTTCCACCGGCGCTTCCCCGTGCCAGCACCGCTCTGTACAGGGACTTTGACGTTTCCTAGCACCTTGCGAGGTGTTCTTGTCACTTCCCTCGCGACTAGGGAAACCGAGGCACAGAGGGACGAGCGCACACAGCCAGCGGGCAGCAGAGCCGCCCGTGCCGCTGCGCCTTTATCCGCCTCTACCGACTCCTTCCTTCCACTCAAATACGTTTATTTTTACAGGAAGCTTTACCCTTCCAGGAAAACTGGAAAAACCATGTCACTTTTCAAGTACCAGAAGATAACACCACACGGCAACCCCGTGAAAACAAAGCTGGCATATTAAACCCCGCCCCAGCCGCCACCCACCCCAGGGACAGACAGGGGGTGAGTCTGCAGCACCCAACACAGCCGGGTCGGCAGGCTGGACGCAGCTGGGGTCAGCCTGGACGCAGCTGGGGTCCGCCTGGAAGGCGTCCTGGAGGAGGTGTCCAGGCAGGGGGCACTGAGTAGAGCCACTGAGGAGTGGGTTACTCTGGGAGGGAGAAAGCCATTGCCCCCACAGCACTCGGCATGTGTCAAACTCACAGTAGGGCTCAAGCGAGCCCCCCAGGGCTGCACTTGAGAGTTAGATGTAAAGGGGCCACCTCGTTCAGCCGCCCATGGCCGGCAAGTGCCACCCGCTTTCCAAGCTGCCCGGCATGTGCCCCTTTGCCCGGACCGTCCCAATGTCCCTACACAGACCCATCTCAGCCCCCCACTTAATGTCTATTGCAATTAAGATGCACAGAGGGACTTGTGCCCCGCTCCCCACGAGTGGGAACACTGAGGTCTGGGGATGGACCCCCCTCCCCATTTTCCTCCGGACACGTCAGGACAGGACCCGAGGTCGCTACGGCAGCGCTGGCCTCAGCGTCCACCAGGGCGGTGCCCCAGTGTGCCACGGGGCCCCGCAGGCCTTTCCTTGGCCAAGTGCACATTTGGAATTTCGGCCGTCACTTCCCTCTGCCCTGACCTGCTGCCCTGGAGCCGAGCCTGGGCCTCCAGCCTGCCCGGAAACCCGGGCCTTTTGTCCCAGCTTGCGGGGGATGGTCACTTTCCCCAGGACCCCTCCCCCCTCCTTCCTGAGGCCTCTGCCGGTGCCTCTGCAGCCTCCATTAGAACGAGGAGCGAGGAGCGAAGCCGGGAAGAGCTCGCCAGCTGGGCCGGCGCCAGAAAGCCCCCAGGGAGGCCGCTGGGGCAACGCCCATCCTCGGGGCTCACGTCCGCCCTGACTCCACGTCCCTCATGCACCTGCTTTGCTGGGTGTGAGCAGGAAGGGGTCACACGGGGCAGCCCGCCTGGCCTCCCTCAACCATCCGCAGGCCTGCGCAAAGCTCCCGGTGCGGGACAGGAGATGGGGGGCGGGGGGAGGGTGGCTTCCTGGTGCCCACCACCACCTCACGGAGCAAAGTGGCCACCCCCACCCCCCATGGGGGGAGGTCCCCCTGCTCCCGCCACCGCCACCGAGCCAGGTGGCCCAAACCCCCTCCCCGCCCCAGGCCTGCAGAGCCCCTCCTCAGGGCTCCCACCCCAGACCCCGTGCGGGGCGAGCGCCCCCGCCCACCTGGAGATGGATTCCTCCAGGAGCCGGGATTTCTGCTCATCCTCCTGCATCTGTCTTCTCAAGTCTTCGTCGCCCTCCGAGGCCGAGGACGGCGTCCCCTCCAGCAGCCAGCGTTCCCGCAGCGCCTTGGACTGGGGGCGGCAGGGGTCGGGCTCAGGGTTACGTCAACCTTCCTGCTCCGACGCCCCCACCCAACCCCGTATCCAGCGGAGGTTCGGGGTCCCCGGGCACCGCCACCGCCTGCCCGGAGCTGAGGCCCGGCCTGTGACGGGACAGTCCCCAGTACCTTCAGGTGCTGCAGCTGCCGCCTGTCGTCCTCCAACTGCCGCCTCTTGCTGTCAATCTCCGCCTGCCTCTTACGCTTCTCCTGACCGGATGGACGCAAAGGGGCTCAGGACCCGGCATGGGGGCCGCGGAGACACCCCCGAACCCACCCGGGTCCTGCTTTGGCTGCAAAGGGCGGCCACGTGGCTCCCTGGCCTTCCGCCTGCCCCCTCACGAGGGCGGGGTTCTTACTCCACGCTGCCTCAGTTTACCCGCCTGCACAGCGGGTCTAGTCCATGTTCTGAAGATGAAGGGGATCTCTGTGTATTCATTTGTGGGGAAGTGCCAGCAGGCACTCCTAAGCTGCACGAGCCCCAGGCTGGGTGTGGGGAACCCCTGGGACCCCAGGTCACCGCCACCCCACCGAGGGGCAGGAGGAACTCACTGCGATAGCCTGCAGACGCTCCTGCTGGGATGTGGTCTCTGCGGCCAGAACCCTGGGTGGGGACAGAAGCGGTCAGGCAGGGCGGGGCCCCCCCCGAACCCTGCTTTCAGCAGATCTGGTTGGGATCCCCTCCCTGCACCTTCCAGCTGGGTGACCCTCTGTAAACGGGGATGCTGCCCCGACCCCCTGCAGAGGCAGCAGCGTCCTCCCCGTCCAGCCTACGACTTCACTGATTTTCCCCATAAACCTCCCACCACCCCCGCAGGGCAGGACCAAGGGACAGGAGGGGCGAGGCTCCGTCCAGACACCCAGGAGGGTCAGGGAGGAGCGGGCGCTGGGACTGGGCTGTGGACGATGCGCAGCTCACTGGGACTTGGGGCTGGAGGGGGTCTCAGGACGCTGGACCGCCTCCCTTCCCGGACTAGGGGACTGATCTGGACAGCCCCCTCCCCGCCCGCCCACCAGCCCACCAAGCATTCTCCAGCTTTGGGGGCGGGGGGAGGCTCTTGAGCTCTGCCCCCAATCCCGAATGACCACAGGGTCCCCCCCCCAAGCCCCTTATCTTCAAAGGGACGGAAACGACAGACCATTCTTGGGTTCTGCCGCCACCCCCAGCACCGCCTGGTTTTGTCCCAGAGTCCAGAGCTACTCCACAGCCTCCGAAGACGCCCCTGGCTTCCCCTCTGTACAGCCAAGCAGACACCCCGGCTCTAAATGCTCCTGTTATGTCCCCCACCCCCTGCGATTCAGTAGGAAAACAGGCCCGAAGTCACACAGGGTGACAGCCCCGCCCTGCCCTGCCGCCTCCCCTGGCCGCAGAGCCCCATCTGGCCGCACCACTCAGGTCCAGTTTCCTGGCCTCGCTGAGACCTCTGAAGTCATCTGGCTCCCACGCCCCAGCCAGGTGACCCCACCCAGCGCTTCCCTGCCTGCCCGGTGCCACCTCGGGGCCTGGCAGTGGCAGCTGCACCCTCCGCAGCTCCGTGTCTGCTGTCCCGGGAGGCCGCGTCCAGCTGGGTGGAGTTCGGGAAAGGCTAGAGCCCCCTATGCAGCTCATGGCCCCCCGCCGAAGGGCTGGGCCAGCTAGGCTTCTGGGTCTGCGAGATGCAGGCAGGGTGGCCCCTGTGCCTCCCACATAGGCCCGTCCTCCCCCACCTCTTGCCAACCCTCCCTTTCCCACCCCAGCCCAGGCCATTACCATTACCTGCCATCTCCCTGGCCCTCGACAGCCCCCTCTCCACCCCACAACCAGAGGCAGGACCTCAAAATGAAAGGCAGACCCTGTCACTCTCCTGCTCTGAAGTCTCCCTGGCTCCCAACACCCTGCAGCCGGCATAGCCCAAGCCCCACTCACATCTCTGCCCTCCTCCCCTCTCTTCCCTCTCTCTCTCTGTTCCAGCCATCAGGACCTCCTGGCCCGGCCTTGACTGCACCAAGCTCATTTCCACCTCAGGGCCTTTGCACCTGCGGTTCCCTCCGCTTTGTATGTTCTGCCCATGGCCAGAAACCGAAGCCCCGAGAGGGCAAGTTACTTGCCCAAAGTCACACAGCTAGGAAGCGGCAGAGCTGGGATGCACCGACCGAACTGCCCAGCTCCGGCCGGCCGCACACGGGCCTACCCTTTCCGTAGCTCTACGGAAGTCTCCGGAAACCCACCCCGGAAGAAGGCAGGGCTGGGGGAGGGGCACGTAGCATCTGAGACCCCAGTGCACAGGGCCACGCTGCTGCGCAGACGGACCACTGCCCAAGGCCCCCTTTCACCATGGTGGGCAGGTGGCCATTCATGCCCGACACAGGGACAGCTGTGAGGCCAGCTCCCCAGGCTGCAGACAAGGCGGGCAGTGTCCTCGCTTGGGTGGCCTGTCCCTGCTGGCCGAGCCAGGGCAGGGGAAGGTCAGGCGGGCCCAGGAAGAGAATTTCCATTCATGTCGTCCGCGTCGCCCCCCACCCCCCGCCCCCGTCACAACCCAAGGGGCGCAGGCTGAGCAGTCCCCTCGCGGCCCCTCCCCAGGCCGGGGGGCGCTGGAGCCGCCCTGCCCCGCCCAGGGCGCCACCGCCTCGGGTGATGGATGGCGGGGCCCGCGGGAGGCGGTCGCCCTGACAACCGCGCCGTCCCCATAGCAACGCCGAGGCCCGGCACGCGGGGGTGGGGCCGGCGCTACGCATCTCCCGCCCCCAGCCCGGCGCTGGGGGGCTCAGGGGCTTCCTGCCCCGGCCTTCAGGGGCTGCCTAGACAGGGCTGGAAGCGGAGGGGTGACTGGGTCCACCCCTTCCCCGCTGCTAGGGGAGGATCGCGTTCTGGGTTCCCCGGCATCCTCCCAGGAGAGGGCCTCCACCCGGGAAGGGTCTGGACCCGCCCCTGGCGCGAGGGAGCCAAGGTCAAGCCAAGATAATACTCAGCATCGTAAATCTGAAAAGCAGGATAGAACCCTGGTAAAACAGCATGAGTAAGAACACCTTCCTGGGCGCTCCCCACCTTCCAGGGTGTCTCGGCCTCACTTTACAGGAGGGGAAACCGAGGCTGGGAAGGGGGAGGTCTGTAAACACTCGCTAAGCGTCCATCCTGTCGGGCCCGCGAGGCAGGGACGTTTACACCCGTAAACCCGGGATGGACAAGCTGTTGAAACGGTGACCCTGGGACCTGGGCGCAGACAGGCGGGCCCGCGGAGCGCAGGGTCTCCCTGAGGTCTGGCCGAGGCAGGGGGCGCGTCGGCGGTGCGGTGGGGACGCTCATTAGGGAAGCAGAGGCCCGATCACAAAAGATCTCACGGCGGGAGCTCAGTGTCGGCTAAAACGGCACCGGGAAGCCCGAGAGCGGCGCGGCCGCTGACCCCGCGGCCGTGTGAGCTGGGGCGAGTCGCCGGCGTCTCAGCCTCCACCGGCTCCGCCGCGCAGTGGGCCACGGCTCGCGGCTGCTGGAGGGACACACCCGCCGCCCGGACGCCCACCCGCCGCTCGCGCAGGCTCCTGTCCTCGCGCGATTATTTTTGTGGCGCTTGGAGCAAATTCTGGGCTCGAGCGGCGATGTGGGCGGCTCAGGACAAGGCGAGGGCGTCGGCTGCGAGCGCGTGAGATAATCCCGGCTCCAGGAGATGAGCTAATGAGGCCCAAGCCCAACAAGCCCGGCAGAGGCCTCCGCTTTGCGGGGCGTTTATTTTTTTAGAGGCCCAGAGAGGTTACGAAACCGGCCCAAGGTCACCCAGCGGGCAGGACGGGGCGGGGCTGGAGGCGGGAAGCGGGTGGGGCGGTGGGGAGATCGGCCTTCCGGGGCCCATGCCCGGGCAGCTCCAGCCAGAATGAGGGGGTCCGGGCTCGGGCAGGCTCAGAGCCCAGCGCTGGAACATTCCTGTGCTAATTGAAAAGAAACAGCTGACAACGACCTTGGCCATGGGGTGGGGGTGGGGGGCAGTCACGCGGGGCTGGGAGGTGAGAGAGGGATCCTTCCCCCATCGGGCGGGGGATGGAGTTGGGGGAAGTCCCCGTTCCACAGCCGTTCCCAGCTCCCTGTGGGGCCTTGTCTCCCCAGCACCTCCCAGAGCTCCCTCACCCTGAGGCGACCTTAGCCTCTCTCTCCGCAGCAGCAGCCGTTCCAGCCCTCCGCCTCTGCCCCTGGTTTCCCTCCTCCACCTCCAAGCTCAGCTCAGGTGCAGCCCCCTCTTCCAGGAAGCCTTCCCAGGTCTCCTCCCCTGATCAGGTGGCCCCTGGGACTGCTGAGGCCACTGCTGAGGTGAACAGCCCATGAGGCACAAGGTTCCTGGAAGGGTCAGGCAGAGGGTCGTCATGCCCATGGTGGCCACTGAGGTCAGAGCAGTCCACAGACCCAGAGGGCCGAATCTGTTGCCTATTAACCTGGGCCCGGGATGGGAAGGAGCTGGACCCTGCCCTGTGCCCTGGAAACGGGCAGGGCCTCGGAGCAGCAGCGGAGGCTCGGTAGGCAGAGGCCTTCCTCAGAGGCCGGTGTCAGGGCAAATCCAGCTGCAGAAGTCAGCCCTAAAGACCCCGGGTCCCAGCCGCCACCCCCGCCCCCGCTCTGCTCCAGCTACAAGCACATGTCCCAGGCACACTGCCGCCCCAGGGCCTTTGCACTGGCTCTGTCCCCTCCCTGGCGCATGTGCTTCCTGCATCCACAGGCCTCGCCGATTCCCTCGAGCCTTTCCTCGATGTCACCTCCCCGGTCAGGCCTCCTCTGACCTTCTCAATTAAGTTTCAGCCCTCGGGACTCCCAAATACCCCCGCCAGCTCCCACCGCCACACAAACCCCTGGACTTCAACTTATTTCCTTTCCCCACAAGGACAGTAACCTTTTTTTTTTTTTTTTGTCCCTGCCATGTCCCCAGCTCCCAGCACACAGCAGGTACTCATTCAATATGCAGTGGACCAACAAGTCAATTAGGATCTTCCCGTTTTCAGAGGAGGCCCCCACCTAAGGATTCCTCATCCCTTGTCACATTCCTGCCATCCCCATGGACCAACCACCTGTCCTACACCTACTGCTTTTTTTTTTTTTTCAAAGACACTCTCCCTCATATTTATCTAAAACAGGACCTGGGCTCCCCACATCCAGCAGAGGACATGGGACAAGCCCCAACTACCCTAGAAGTGACTTTACAAGTTAATATATAAAACAACCCAAATGCCTGTCAGTAATGAATGGACACACACAGGGTGGCCCGCACACTGGAATATTACTCAGCCATGAACAGCGGGGCGGCGCTGACACCACAACGTGGACACATGACGCTCAGCGAGAGATGCCGGATGCACAGGCCACACGGTGTGTGATTCCACTTATGTGAAATGTCCAGATCAGGCACACCCACAGGAACAGGAAGCGGGTGAGCGGTTGTCGGCGGCTGGGGGAGGGACCGCTGAAGGGGACAGGGTTTGTTTTGGAGGTGATGGAATGTTCTGGAATTAGACGGAGGTGATGATTGTACAACTCCGTGAATTCCTGAAAATTGCCGAATTGTTTACTTTAAGTGGGTGGACTGTATGGCATAGGAATGAGATCTCGATGAAGCCGGTAAGAATGAATATGTACTCACATGCAGCCGAAGGGCTGACCCCCTCGCCGAGGGCTGGGCTAGAGCCAGAGCTGGGGTCCTGCCCACCCCATGGGGCACTGCGAGATCCTGCTGGCCCTGCCCCGAGGCTCTTTGTGATCAGAAGGGACACAAACCCACCAGGGCGTCACCTGCTCACATCCTGTGGGCCCCCTGCCAAGCTCCCGCTCCTCATCAGCTTTCGAGGCCCCCTATCGCTGCCCCCAGAACCCTCCCTGTCACCCAGGCCCGGCCCTGCCCCGCCACGATTTTTTCATCCACGCAGCCTCGTGGCCAGCCTGCCCTCACGCTGGTCCTCGCCTGCCCTGCCCGCCACAAGGCCTGGGTCGAGCTCCTTTTCCGATCGCCGGCCCAATCCGAACTGTCCCAATGATGAGCTCTGACTGTTCCTGAACGCCTGCTGGAGACAGACACCCCAGCCAACGTCATGCTCCTCAAACAGCAAGACTTCCGCCCAGCTGTCCCATGCCACACCGAGACCCTTGGGCCGCATGGCCAGGGCACCCTTTAGCCTCCCTGGCATCCAGGGGCTGGGCCATCTCTCCCTAACCAGGCCGGCTGGGCCCCCTGGGCGGCTCGGACACCACACAGGATGAAGTTGGGTCCACGCCCACCCAAACTTTGGGCCTTGCTCCCCTTCCTCGCTTCTCTCCGAGCTGCCCCACAGCCCCCGTCCTGGCTGAACCCTGACTTGCTCCTGCCTGACCTGGCCCCTCAGCTGCCAGAGCCCCTTTCTGGTGCCTGGCATCAGCCCTCGCTCCCCACCCCCCGGCCAGATACCATCCCTGGCTCCCCATGGCCCCCAGCTTGGCACTCCAGGTCTGGCGGGACCCGGCCCCAAGAACACGAACAGAAGTGCTCCATTCTCCCCATGCTTTCCTACCACCGGGCCTTTGCACAGGCCAGTCTTTCCGCTGGGTGCTCCCTTCTGCCTGCCTGGGTAAACCCTTAAATATCTTTCACAGAAAAGGTCCATGATGGAATGGACCAGGAAAGCTTCCCCCCACGGCAGCTTCCCCTCCATGGGCTCCCCCGGGCCCCTCTGATCCTGCACGGCTTGGATGGTCAGCAGAAAGCATGTCTTAAGCGAACGAATGAGAAGCTTCCTGGATGGAGGAAGAGAGGACAGAATCTGCTCCAGATATGGAAAACGGTGATGTGACTTGTTTGTTCAGAACATCGACCCATTTCCCAGCATCGAAATCTGGGACCCTTGAGGGCGGGCCTCGAATGGGGCTGCAGGCGGCACTCCCAGGGTCCAAGTCCATATGGCACCCGCCCCTCTTCTAACTGCGCCCCCTGCTCGGGAAGGGGCGGGGTGGGCTCATGTCCCCATTCACCAGACGTGAAGAGTGAGCCCGGGAAAGGCAAGTAACATGCCCGAAGTCTCATAAGGAGTCAGGACACCCTCTTTCCATACCCCAAATCGGCACTCACAGAAGGGGTCTCTGGGGAGAGAATGCGGGGACAGATGTCCCCAGGGGCACGGGCTACTGCCAAGGCCACCAATCAGGCTGAAAAGCTGATACCGAGGAACCCTGCAGACCACAGCCTCTGGGACACAGGACGGCACGAAGACCCCGTTCCCACTCCTCCCCACGCCCCCGGCAGCTGAGAGGACCACCACCCAGGAAATCACAGTCCCACCGCCTTCCAGCTGTGTGGTCTCCGGCATGTCACGTCCCCTCTCTGTGCCTCAGTTTCCCCACCTCACGGGGTTGCCGTAAGGATCCAGCGAATGCACACGGACAAAGCGCTCAGAGCAGGGCCCGCTGCAGAGCAAGGGCTCACTGCACGGTCACTAAGTGAATAAAGGACCCTGGCACTTCCCGAGCTATTGTCCCACGTTCCCGCCACCACCTCCAGTATGCTCGACACATTCCTTCCTTCCCTTCCCTCCCCTCCCTCTAAATTGAATCCCCTTATTTTACAGGAAAGGTTTCATTGTTATCGAGACCGAGAAAACCAGAAGCCACTGCCGCAAACACCAGAGTAAAAACATTGAAAAAAATCGATATAATGAAAATAAAAGCTTGTTATTCAGTTATCACTAGATACTGTTGCCTTTTAACCAGCTGCTGTCTCTGATTTGAAAGGGAGATGAGCAAGCGTGAAAGAGACAGTAAGGACCCAGTTAGCACCCAACGGAGACCTGCTCCTTGAAGATGCCCAGCGTGAGGGTGGGTCCGGCCCACGCCCCGCCCTCACCCGGGAGAGCGCCTGAGCCAGCTACACCCTGAGACTCCCAGAGGCGCAGCCCTTCACCCGGGGCCACACGGCCAAAGCCTCTCCAGAGCAGGGCTGGCCCCTAACTCCTGAGGCCCCTCCCAGGAGTGTCTCCATGCGCCGCCACCCCTGACCTTTGCCCCCTCTTTGCGGGATCAGCCATCTCTCCCACCGCCCTGGCGATTAGTGACTGGTTAGTTTTCGATAAATCCCTACATTGTTAAACTCATGGAAATTAGTTTAATCCTTAAGTCGATGAAATTTTGTCGGATTCTTAAATTTATTTTCAAAAGAAACTTTCCAGTACCCCCGTAAGCTGCAACCGTCTCCGGTGACTGAGGGCTAAATCCACGGAAACGGGACGAGGTGAGGGACGCGTCCCAGCGGCTGCAGCCTCCATGCCTGGAGCCCATTGCACCCTCATGGGAAAGGACAGTAAGCCAGGGGCCGGCATTCCAGTCGGGGGCACCCACCATCGTTGCCCCGAGCCCTGGGGACAGAGGCTTCCTCTCATGGCTATTCAGGCCAGGTAACGCCACGAGATGTACCCAGTGACCCACCTAATGTGTGGCCACGGTGCCTGCGGACGAGAAGGCACAGGGCAGGGCACCCTCCTTGGGCTGTGTGACCCCGGGGCAGTGCTGTCCCTCTCTGGGCCTCGGTATCCACATGAGAAAGAAAGGGGTGACGGGAAAGAAGACAATGGGGTCCAACCACGATATCTCCCCCTCCCCGTTCCTCTGCTCTGGGCGGGTGTTTTTCTCGCTTTTTGCCCCTCATCCCCAACGCAGCCCCCTCGCCACGGCCACACCCTGCCCAGGGCCTGCTGTCGGGAGGCCCGGAGGCCCCGGCGGGCCCAGGGTGCAGAGCAGATAAACAAGTGCGGGATTCTGGTGCAGACAAGTCCAGGCCCTGGCTCCCCTGAGCCCCTGGCTGGGCTCCCGGGGCTGGTGGGGGAGCGGCTGGGCCTTTGTCTGGGTTTTCAAAAGCAGAGGACACTGGGTGTCGCCTTCCTGGGGAGGGCGTGGTGGGTCACGGGTGAACCCCTGGAGGAAAGCTGTCTGTTCAGAAAACACACCCAGTGGGACAGGCAGGGGGAGCCGGGCTGGCCGGGTGGGGCCCTTGGCCCCACACAGTGTGGGTGGCCCGCCAGGCCCCAGACACCAGGTCCCACTCCCTGCCCTTGCAAACACACCCCACAACCTCCAGCACCCACCTGTGGGAGTGGGGGCACGGCCCCCCCCCCCGGACCCGGGAAGAAGGACCCTGTGTCTGAAATGACCCGGTGCACCGGCTGGGCACCTGCGCCCGCAGCACCCCTCCGCCCAGCACACCCGACCCGGCCGCCGCTCTGTTCCCACTCTGGCCCGTGGACTCTTGGCAACACTATTTGGTGCCCCGTCTTGGGGACACTTTCCGGGGAGGGGGATCAGCCCCAAGCTCCCCTGTTGGAAAGCGATTGGACCCCTGGTCTCACATCTCCCAGACCGGAAGCCCGGACAGAAGCCCCCTTCCTGCAGCTGGAACTCGGAACAACATCTGGCGCCAGACCCGCCTGAGCCGGGGCTCCGGACAGCACTCGGGCCCTTGGGGAGGACAGCCAGGAGGAGGGAGGACCGGCCCGCGCGCGCGTCCTGGGCGCAGGCAGCGGCGAGCTGAGGCGGGGGGTGGTGCGAGGCTCAAGGCCTGACCAGTGCAGTGGGGAGGGGTCGCTCCATCCCCCCAGGAAGCGCGCCGAGAGCCCACAGGTGGCGGAGGGCCAAGGCTAGCCCAGGGGGTGCGGGCGGGGCGCGGGCGGAGACACGGGCCTCCCCCTTGCAGTGTCCCGGGGTGCCCCCGGCCGCTGCCGCCCGAGTCCCGGGAAGGCCGTGGGCCGCCGGGGTCGGGGATGGGGGAGGCCTCAGGGCGCGCGCGGCCCAGCGTGGGTCCCTCCCGAGCTGGGCCGGGGGTCCCGGGGATCCCTCGCCACCTCCCTCCCCACGCGCGGCCGCGACGCCGGGGGTTAGGGGGATGTAGTGAAAGCTTCGCCCCTCCCGC